TCAAAATACTTTAAAATACATTGGCAATGATTATGGGCAAGAAAGAGAGTAAATCAAAACACAATGAAATAATTTGAAGAATTTATGAATAAGATAGTGTGAGGAGAATGGCAATGATAATATGATCCCAAATAAAAGGATTCTAAAAGTTAGTTGAAAAGCCAAAGTGTCCACATAATTTAAGGAGTTAGGTAACAGAGAGGAATTAATAAGAAGGGAAAGACAGGATGAAAAAATGAGAAATTTTAAAAGAGAAAAAATATAGACAGTTTGTGGTGTTTTAAAAGGATGTATGAATTCTGCACGGATTTGACTGCTTGCTGGTAAGAAAATGCTTTTATTATAATGAGAAAGTACTATAAAAGCTCTGACGTTGACTGCAGTTAAAAATAGGCAACCATCTGGGTTGGATGGTATAGGATGGGCTATGTTTGGAGAAGTGAAAATAAAAAGAATTCTTGGCTCTATTTTAGAGATAGGATTCTTTATTAAAATCTTCTGCTACAATTACATTCTTATCAAATTTTCTCTGCGTTTCCACCAGTTTCTACTTTAATGTTAACTGCCACCATTTTTGGACACAGAGGTGAATGAAGATTCTATCCCTATGAACTATGCCATTTATCCTTATACAATGTCTCATGCCACTCTGTTAGGGGTTTGTTTTTGCTTTATTCTTAATCAAAAATTCCACTTAATTCATTGCCTAGTGCTCTTTTTTAATCACCTACCTTTCATGATTAGTCATATGCTGAGGTTGCCCACTCCACCTACCAGTCCTGCCCTTCTCCTGACCTCCAGGCTCCTACAGAAAAGTCGCTATTTGATACCTCACTAAGGTTTCCAAAAGGCAGCCCACCTATGATGGACTCTATTTCTCATCTTCTTTATGTTTCCTTCCCGGTTCCTCATAAATGGCACTACCATTCAGTCAGTTCCCAAAATGCAAATCTCAAAATCATCCTTCAGTTTTTCTTTCCCCCACACCTTACATTCCAGTTTGTCATCAAAACTGTATCACTTCTATTTTAAAAAAATTTACTGCAGTAAGAACACTTAACAAGAGATCTATCCTCTGCACAAGTGGACAAGCATACAGGAAGTGATATGAAGGTATAGTCATGGAATTAATGTGAGAGGCATAATATGAACCCAGAATTATATACTTCCAATTTATGATTTTTACAATTTATACCAAAGAGCAAGCACATCTTAAAGCTTACTGAAGATAGTTACAGAGTTGTAGAGAATTCGGTTGTCATTCAGTGTGACAACAGTTGTCATTAAGGTGGAAACTGAAGTCCATACTATGGAGACAGAAAATAGGATAACTGTGTGAGGAGCCACCTGAGTGTAATGCATGTAATAAATGAAAAAGTTTAAGCACAACCTGAACTAGACTGAAGAATCTTTTTAACTGATTGTAAAGCTGTCGCTTTTTTGTCAAGGTTTCACACACATTCTTTTTTTTTAATTTTTTAATGTTTATTTATTCTTGAGAGAAAGACAGAGCATGAGCAGGAGAGGGGCAGAGAGAGAGGGAGACACAGAATCCAGAGTAGGCTCCAGGCTCTGAACTGTCAGCACAGAGCCCAACACAGGGCTTGAACCCACAAACCATGAGATCATGACCTGAGCTGAAGCTGGATGCTCAACTCACTGAGCCACCCAGGCGCTCCTCTCACACATTATTCTTAAGGAGCCAGCAGGTAACATGACTCTGTATACAGCTTGTCCTGACCCAGAGGAGAATGCATTCACTGACTGGTTGGGAGCTCCAGATAATTCATGGCCTTACACCATTCACAGAAACGACCCTGGACCCGGGCTTTTAACACAGATAGAATTCAAGTAAGATGTGACTCTGGGCATTGGAAGGCTTATGGAATTGTTCACGACTAACCTCCCAATGCAGATAGGGTAGAAGCTAAACAGGTGTAGCAGGAGACTCAATACCTAAACTCAGCACCAACCTGCAACTGGGCCAAACCTATCTTATTGCAGTATCCTATATAACTTTGTTAATAAATGTCTGCTCCACAAAAAGGCAATATTCAAAACCAGAAAAATATGATAGGCACTGAAAAGTTATACTAGTCGAATTCATTTGAATTATTAAAAGGATGTAAATGAATTAAATACAGTTCATTTAAAAGCTTCAATGTTAGCTTAAAGGCTTTGGTTTGTTTGTTTTTTTAAGAAAAAATAGTTTATTTTTCTAAATGTTTCATAAAGAATGCTAGATTTGAGAGTCTGCTGGAGGCCTGCTTCCCACAAAACATCCTAGTGTTATCTTTGACACAGATCCACACAAAATAATTTCAGGGTTATGTAATTCTGAAACAAAACCTGAACATTTAATTAGGATTTAAAATACAGATTCTCATGTTACCCTTTTTAAAATGACTGAAAAATCATAATTGATTTGCTTACTTGATTAGACCCTATATAATAACAAAGGGATCTTAATTACTAATCACTTATAATTAGTCCTCCTTAAAATTTGTCTTTCAAGGGGCTCCTGGGTGGTTTGGGTTAGTTGAGTAACTGACACTTGGTTTCAGCTCAGGTCATGATCTCAAGGTCATGAATTAGACGATTCATGAGTTTGAGCCCCGCAAAAGGCTCTGCTGACTGAGTGGAGCCTGCTTGAGATTCTCTCTCTCCCTCTCTTTCTCTGCCCCTCCCCTGCTCGTTCTCTCCCTCCCTCTCTCTCCCTACCTCCCTCAAAAAATAAATATTTTTTAAAACTTTATTTAAAATTTGCCTTTTAAAATGTTAACTGCACATTTGGTTATACGGTAGTCCCCTCTTACCTGTGGTTTTGCTTCTGGGGTTTCAGCTACCTGCAGTGGGGGTATGTGATCCTTCTTCTGTCATAACGTCAGGTCAACAGTAGCCTAATGCTACGTCACAATGCCTGTGCCACTTGCCCTACTTCATTTCATCACGTAGACATTTTATCATCTCACATCATTACAAGAAGGATAAGTACAGTACAATAAGATATTGTCACAGAGACCACATTCACAAAACTTCTACTACAATATATTGGTATAATTATTCTTTTCATTATTAGTTGTTAATCTTTACAGTGCCAAATTTATAAATTAAACTCATAAGTATGTATATGTAGGAAAAAATATATATATAGGGTTCAGTACTTCCCACAGTTCTAAGCATCCACTGGGGATCTTGGAATGTACCTTCTGGGTATTATCAGGGGACTACTGTACAAGCTTTCATGCTTTGGCAACATTTATATAGAAAACATTAATTTGAATGAAAGGAAATATTGAGACTGTTAACTTTGTCACCACCTGGTAAATGTCAATTTCTACAATAAAATGTTTTCAGAGAAAAAAAGTCACATGGCAGAAATAAATAACCTTAAATATCTGTACACTCCCTAGGAATACTATTACTGTGCACAGTTACTGGAAAAATTTAATTAGCAATGGCATTCTGTGCTAAAAGCATCTAACACTTTGATTTCATGCTTGTAGTTCAGACATTAGCATTCAAATCAGCCCACGAATTGCACTTTGGTATTTATTGAATGAATGCCAATTAAATTGTTCCAAATAATCATTTTCATTTCCTGCAGGGTATCAGCCTAAAACCGAATATTCCCATGGAATTTAAGATACCTGAGATGTTGGGATTTTTACATTTTCTAGGGAGAAATTTTGTTTTTAAAGTAATAATAAACCTAGTTTTCCTATTGTTTCAAGAAAGTTCTTACACTCCTGGGCATTGTCTTTGTGTCTATGCAAAAAAGGTTATTGAATCCTGCCATAAATCTGAGGTCAACATATACTGCAATTTAGTAATTCATGAAAAGTGACCATATCTCACCCTATGTCCTAATGCCCACACTTGCATTTTTTTTGTTTCAAAATAAATAAACGATGAACACTTTTCAGGAGAACATCAGGATTTAGATCAGATGTGAGAAGCAAAAGTGAGATTGAAAAAAAAAAAAGTCAAAGAGAAATAAAAGAGGAAACAAAAATCCTGAAAGATGATGGGAAGAAAAAGTCATGATGGCACATGTAATGCAATGCTCTCTAGTATTTAATCAATTTGTTTCTGAGCTCAATGTAGGAGGTGGTATTTTCAGTAATTTTATTAGATTATTTTGCTCTCACAAATTTTAAAATTGAAGGAAGAAAAATTCTCAAGACATAAATTCAGAAATTATATGGAGACAAAATTAACAGCCAAAATTTGATTTATCTGAAGTTCTTATTTATGAGGTATGTGTATACAATTTATAAAAATTATTTCAAAGTGTATTCCTTTTTAATTAAATTTGTAGAAGTTTTACTACCCAGTTATATTTCCTTGGCAGAAATAACATTCCTAGAATGTCTTCATAGATTACACTTGTTAAATTTTAAAGATTCCTTCCATGACCTCACAGCAAAGTTAACTGTGAAAAGAAGATATTTAAAGGAACATTCTCAAAATATATGGTTTGAACATACTTAGCTTACAATACATTTAAGTACCTCCACTTGATAAGATATTGTTTTGGAATTTTGACCCCTGAATGTTACTATCAACTGTAAATGTTTGTTAAGCATCTTGTATTTTTCAACCAGATGAGATGCTGGGCATAAAATGGTAAAAAAAGAAAATTGACTCTGTTTTTATATATCATGAAAATCTACCAAGAAACACTGAAAATTAAAGAAGCATTCTACATTTATAGTGTTTTTCCAACTCTGGGAAGGATAAACCTTAGGCATCTCCCATTATTCAGAGAGCCTTCAAGAAAAGTTCAAGGCAGGTCTTCAATTTAAAAGTTGAAACTCAAAGAAAAGGTAGAAGATAAAGATGGGGAATTTGGATATTAAGAAAAACAACATGAGAACCACTTTACTAAGGAAAGAAAATTAATCACATAAATCATATTGAATGTGATCTTTACATTTGGCATTTTGTGCTAATTTTGTTGTCTCTTTCTACATTTCTTAATTTTTATGATAGTCTTGTCTTCAAAAAGGATACAGGTTCATTATGAATATTGACACCATAGCAGAAAGTATATGGAAGACAGTTGAAGATATGATACATAATTCTATATCTGTATATAATCACTTGAATACATTCCCATCTCTACACATACATAGAAAAACAGAAAGGGAGATGGATGAACAGGTAAATGAAAGTAATTTAAACAGATTATAATTATGTATATGTTGTAATTTTATCTAAATGTATTTATGTTTAAGTTAAAAAAGAAAAACAAAGATTAGAAACTTGTTGATTTTGAGGCAACTATTCACACAAAAGAGCTAGCAATAGCTAAAATATTCTTCTGTCCTTAATTGAAAATATCTTCAAAATTAAGTTTGTCATCTTATTTAAGTTTTTTTATGTTTATTTATTTTTGAGGGAGAAAGAGAGACAAAGCATGAGTGGGGGAGGGGGCAGAGAGAGGGAGACAGAATCCAAAGCAGGCTCCAGGCTCTGAGCTATCAGCAGGGCTCAAACTCACAGACTGCAAGATCATGACCTGGGCAGAAGTCGGATGTTCAACCAACTGAGCCAGCGAGGTACCCCAAGAGCTTGTCGTCTTGATGTCTTACTAACTATAATTCTACTTCAAACAGTGATTTTAAAGTTCACAATAACAGAAATGGGAAAAAAACATAATTCTCTTTGATTTTTTTTAGTTTATTATTTTTAGTACTGACTTCTAGAATATCATACAAATAATACTACTATGGTTAAGTATGTGGGCTCTGGTACCAATTTGCCTAGGTCCAGATCTGAGCTCTGCTTCTTACTAGTTGTGGACCTAAGATAATCTAAGGTTTATCATTTTGTTTGATTTTTCTGTGCCTCTGTTTCTTACCTGTAACATGAGAATTGCTGTGGCATGTCCACTTTGGCTTTCTCTCACTCCTTCACCCCACCTGCTAATTGATAACCTCCCTTGGCTAGGTACCTATGCCATAAAAATTTAAAGTGGTGTCCCTGCCTCTGCCCTGCCTCAGTGTGAAAATGGGGTTTCCCAGAGAAACACCCAAGGTGTTCCTATTGTATATTCCACAAATTCTCCTAAGCTTTCTTTTTTTTCCTTTTCCTTTATCCCTTTTTGTGTTATTTCTGTAGTACCTACTTAACAATGTGTAGGTAGCAAACTTTCTAAGTTCTTGTATGTCTGAAAATAACTATACATTACCCTCATAACTCAGTGATGGGTTAAGTCCTAATTGCCTAACATCTGGCTGCCCACTTATGCAAAAAACAAAAAGTTTTGTATATGTTCTAGTGTATTACAAACCTGGGGACTGTTAGTTTGATCTTCAGACAAGTGTACTTTCTGTCACTCATTTGTAATAAAGCAAAACAAATCTGACCAAACAAAGCTAATAACCAAATATCATGATGGTGATAACACCATTAGAACATGGTCTAATACTTACTCCAAACTTCAGTCCTTATTTTCTAACTGTCCACTTCCCATGCAGCTATTTACCTTAGTTAAATCAGTAAACAGAATTCAAGAACTTCAGCACTGAGCATTAAAATAAGTATTAATCAAAAATTCACAAGAAAATCCCAAATACTTTTTAAATTTAAATTCTAGTCAGTTAACATTTATGGTAAAATTGGTTTCAGGTGTAGAATTGAGTGAGTCACTCATCACTTACATATAACATCAGTGCTGAATTTAGTAAGCATGTTAATACTTTTAACTAAGTCACATTTTTAAATAATAAATGGATTTATGTTCTCCTAAAATAAGACTGAGGAGGTATACTGAATTTTTTTCACTGGACTAAAACATGAAACATCGATTAAAATAATACAGCTCTTTATGCTACAGTTCTATGAAATAATATGAAAATATTCAAACATATATATTCAAATAAAAAACTGAAGTTTGAAACAAAATAGGTGCAAAATAAGTCTAGCAGTGTAAAATTAGAAACACCAAATGCATTATAAATTAGAGTTCTTATTATTGGTTAGAATATGTTGATAATTAAGCTAAAGTCATGCGCTTAATTCCCGATGTACCAGTTTCCTCTGCTTTGTTACAGAGACACAGGCTGAATCACAATCCCCAGCTGTCTTGGAAGTGTGCGTTATTGATCAAGAGGGGTACACAGCAGACGTGGGGAAAGATTAGTCCAATTCCATTACAATGACAGGAAAAACAATTCTGAGCACATTCCCTACAGACAGTGGGTCAGCTGCTTAATTTTATTTCAGTTTGGCATGTGTCTCTTGCAGACAGATGCTTAATGATAGTTCTTTGTAATGTTAATAATGATGAAAAGAAGATACATTTTAAAACTATATAGCAGTTTCCCCAAACAGGTAATTTTAAAGATTGTGAGATTCATGAACAACACAGCCAGTTCATCAAATATTAGTTCCTGAATCTGTGGGGGCTTAAATTGTATGCATTAAAAATTCTGATTTGGAAAAGCACTGACAGTCTTGCTCTATGACATAATGTAACAGCAACTGATTAAGACTAATCTCACCAAAATGTAAAATACATATATATCTATATATACGCATATATAGATAATATACATGTGTGTGTACACACTCATATTTGTAAAGAATAAAGTATTAAATGTATGCAGAAAGAAGGAGATGCTACCATTATTTTTAACTTAGTGAAGCTAATTATAGGAAACAAATATTAGAAATTGTAGAAAGTAGAGAAAATCTGAACACATTACAATGGAGGTCAATGTTCTCTCACATTTCCTATTAAATATATTTTTAGGCATCATGTTAAGTTTTATATTATTATTAATAAGTTACCAGGCTTATATATTTTAGAGCAAATTAGTTTTTGTTCATTCACATAATTTAATTATCAGTGGGGTGCCTGGGTGGCTCAGTCGGTTGGGCGTCTGACTTCGGCTCAGGTCATGATCCCGCGATTTGTGGGTTCGAGCCCTGCATCAGGCTCTGTGCTGACAGCTAGCTCAGAGCCTGGAGCCTGCTTCAGATTCTGTGTCTCCCTCTCTCTCTAACCCTCCCCTGCTCATGCTGCCTCTCTCTCTCTTAGAAATAAATAAAACATTAAAAAATTTTTTTAAAAAATTTTAATCATCAAATATAAAGAGAAGTAGAAAAAAAATGAAATTTTTGGAGTATTCACACCAAATGCCATATCCCCTGATAGACATTGTGTAACACACCTAATTTGTCCTCCTTTTTAAAAAGCACTACAAAAATCTTACAGGTGATTAATATTACCCTCATTTAATAATGTGGCAAATAAGGCTGGGTAAACTAAGTAAACTGCCCACGGGCTCCAAAGCAGCATAGCCGAGTTTTAAACAAATGATGCTCATATGGACTTTAATGACTTATGAGAGCCAGAGATGCCTTATTGTTCCATAGTATCGTTTTTGCTTTTCCATGATAGCACAATATTCAACTAGTATACTGTTTCCCACCTGGACCAGATTTTTGTAGACTCCCTTTCAGCAATATATAGATATATGACCAAATTCTTGCCTAAACTATGCATGAAATTTCTGAGTTGTGCCTTATCTTCCTCCTTCCTACAGGCTGGAGTTGGAATATAGGCAAGACTAGAGTAATCATCTTGAGCCATGAGATGGAAACCATGTTTTGGGAATGGTAGAAAACAAGTTATAAGAAAATTTAGCCTCCAGCAGTATTAAGCTAAGGTAACCTTCTTAGAAAGACTACTTAAACATTTCTTTTTTTTTTTTTTTTCTTTTTTTGAATGGGAGGGAGGGGCAGAGGGAAGGAGAGAAAGAGAGAGAATGAGAGAGAGAGGGAGAGAGAGCGAGAGAGAGAATTTTAAACAGGCTCCAGGCAGACATGGGCTTGATTTAACAACTGTGAGATCATGACCTGGGCCAAAATCAAGAGCCAGATGTTTAACCAACAGAGCCACCAAGGCACCAGGACAGATCACTTAAATATTTCTATTTGTTTAAGTTGCTGAATCTTTATGTATTTTCATATTTTATAGTGTGTATGGTATAACTGTTAAAAAAATTTGTGTGTTATAACTAATATAATATTGTTTATATTTTTCTTATAGATAACTGCACTTATGATGGTGAATTCCTACAAGGTTTATTCTACCTTTACTGTGATAGTCAGACTTATGATGACATTTTCCTTGTACTGGTAGAGGATGGTGCACAAAGAAATCCAACTGCAGTTTCTCCATTCTAGATATTTTAATTTAGAAACATGTTAATACAAATGTATGAACATGCACGTGATTAAAAACAGTGACATTGCACATTGATAATGTACGTGTGATTAAAAACAATAATATACAAGAACAGCAACAAAGGCAACTCTAACTGCAAATAAAATAAAAAGTGAAACAAAGAACCTAAATGATAAATGATACACAGCAATTTCATATGCATCATGAAAACCCTCTATCTGGCACTGATGCATTCCTTAGCATAAGAAAGTGGCCAGGTGCTTCTTTTGAAAATAAAAACTACTCAAGAAATAGACATATAAGAGCAAATAGAGAGCTGACAATACATGATTCACGGTGGTAAGGATGCTTCCAAAACAAAAGTACTGAACTAAGTGTTGTCATATAAAAAGAATTTTGTCCTAATTTTAGCATGAATATTTACTTCTTTATTAACTTTACCTTAACAGACTCTAATAATATCTTTTTTATGTTTTATTTATTTCTGAGAGAGAGACAGTATGAGCAGGGAAGGGTCAGAGAGATACGGAGACACAGAATCCGAAGCAGGCTCCAGGCTCTCAGCTAGCTGTCAGCCTAGAACCAACGCGGGGCTCAAACCCACGAACCATGAGATCATGACCTGAGCTGATATCAGATGCTTAACCGACTGAGCCACTCAGTCTCCCCTCTAATAATATTTTTAAAGCCATTTTAGTTTCTGTAATTTTCCAGCATTTGAAATATTAGCATGTACATATATTTTAAAAATATTAATTTGTAGTATTTTTCCTTAGGTAAAACAAACAAAAAAAAGTCCTAAACTATTTATATAACATCACTATCTTAAAATTAGGAAGTTTTAGTGACTTTAGAAGGGAAATTATTACTCTTAATATTTCATACAGGTAGGTGTTTACTAGGTGAACAATAAAAACAATTTGTGAGCAGTAAAAAAGATTTAAATGATAAGATAGCTTTGTGTCAATTTTAGAGAGATATTTAATATTTAAAGACATTAAGTATTTTAAAATATATTTATTTTTGAAGATATGAAGTATGCAATAAAACATTTTAAATCCAGTTAATAGAGATATTAACTGCAAACTACTGATACAAAGTATTACCATACCTATATATCTCAACCTATGTTTACATACATGCACCTATAGCTCTATTTATATCTAATTCAGTTGTACTAGTACATAAGGGCATTTTTCTTATTTTGTACTTCCTAATTAGCTTTTTCTCTTTCTGAACAGGTCACATCCAGGACAGAGCACAATTACACATAATCTCTAAGACTCCTATAAAACTGATATGTTATTCTACTTCAGTTTTTGGTTTTCACATTTTTTCCCTCCACAAGGATCTACATGAGTCCATATATGCGGCGCACCATTTCCCATTGGAATACTTTATAATCGTCAAAGTGAGACTTTCCAGACAAATAACTATTTTCTATAATAAAGCAAAGAACCAGGTCGTGCGTTGCTCTGGCAGGAGATCTGCCCTTGCTTTCTGCCTGACTGCGCACTAAAACATCATGGAGAGAAGGCACGGGCAGAGACAGTGATGGGCAATGACAGTTTTCTCAACAGTGTTTCTGCTTTGAAGATTGTAGAAAGATAAGGGCACCTCCATGTCAGCAGTTTGAAAGAAAATTTCTTGTTTGACAACTATGGCATGCAGTGGAGATTCTTGTGATTTGGTTGTTTACAGCATTTGAAAAAATGTCACAGTTGCAGTAAATATCAATACCAACAAAAGATGGATGTGCTTCCTTGTTTTTTCTGTAAGACTCAAGGAGAGATTTCACTTTTATTTCTGTAGGTAACCCTTTACATTTACAGCAAATATGTTTATTTTAGTGAACTCATTTAAAATGACATATAATATTTAAAAACTATAATTAAGTGAAACAATAAAAACAATAATATGTATAATCTTACCAGGTGAAGATAAGGCATAGTAATGTAGATATTAAAATCAAAACTTGATTAAACATTGCAGACTGTGTACGCTGAATGGCTCTGTGCAAATCATTCTAAAATAAAACCAAAAAAAGCATATTTTAATTTTGAAAATACTAAATATCCATGAATATCACTGCATTTATTACTACCTATTATATTTTAACTGTCTTGTGCACACTCGATACATATACTTTAAATGGATATAGCAGCCTATTTTCATTTTTGCCTAAGTCTAAATATACTTGACCTTAGCATTCTTATGACAAAAATAATACTTTGGGGGATCACCAAAATACCAAATTTCAGTTACTCACTTTACCAACATCTATAGAGATGTTACGCTAACTCCCCAAACCCTCCGTGATAATAAGCATGATCTCTTATGGAAAATTCTAACTTTAAAAGATCAGAAAACAATATATTCAATTTAGGGGAAAGTAATAAGTAGGTCAAGCTACAATCACATCTCATTCTCTGAATCACGAAAAATGACATGAAATATGCCAGGCAATCTATCATAAAAATCAAAAGCTAAATAGCCAATGAACACATTTTTTTAAGTTTAATTTCATCAATATAAAGGTGAATTCAAGATACTTTTTAATCTTTCCAATTAAAAGACATGAAAAAATATAAACCCAGTGTTGTTTAAGATGCAAAATATGGGCACTCACATATGATACTGCCTATGTACATTGTTATAAAATGTCTTGAAGGTGATTTAGTAACATAGGTCACAGCCCTGTCCTTTCTATTTCATGAATTCATTCATTAATTTAATGAGTATTTACTCAATCACATAATTTCTAAGACTTGACCACATGAAAATAATCGGAGATAAAAATCAATATTTATGTATGTTCACCTTTATAATAAATTTCTAATACTATATGAAATAACAAATGCTCATTACTATTAAAATAACTAAAATATGAAATACAAAATGATTAATTGATCAAAACTATATAATAGATATAGATGCAGCCATTAAAAATGATTTGAAAAGGGGCGCCTGGGTGGCTCAGTTGGTTAAGCATCTGACTTCGGCTCAGGTCTTGATCTCCTGGTTCGTGAGTTCCAGTCCCGCGTTGGGCTCTGTGCTGACAACTCATTAGCCTGGAGCCTGCCTCAGATTCTCTGTCTCCATCTCTCTCTGCCCCTCCCCTTCTCATGCTCTGTCTCTCTCTCAAAACTAAATTAAGCATTAGAAAAAAATTTTAATGATTTGAAAAAATATTTAATGATACAGGAAATTGAGCATTATAAAAACAAAATTCAAAGTGCTCCTGGGTGGCTCTGAGCGCCCAACTTGGGCTCGGGTCATGATCTCACAGTTCATGAGCTCAAGCTCTTCACTGGGCTCTGTGACAGCTCAGAGCCTGGAGCTTGCCTTGGCTTCTGTGTCTCCTCCTCTCTCTGCCCCTCTCCCACTCACTCTCTGTCTCTCAAAAATAAACATTAAAAAAAAAATTGTTTTAATTCAATAATAATATTGAACATACAATTTCATATATGATAGGTGTACATATTTTTCCATAGAAAATATTAGTATATAAAGTCCAATAGATTTATAGGTTTTCATAATTTACTTTATAGTTTTCTGTTCATCTCAAAAATTTTATAACAAACTTTTAACCATCTTAAAGTTGTTATTGCTTGAAATAAATCAATTCACTAATATAAAATCTCAATGAGCCATTATTTTATCTTCTTCTACCACATATTTTAACCAAAACTGTCACGAAAACAAAAAACTAAGTTGGCTACAATTTCACCTCTTATCCCTTACTTTCTTCTTGACAGAAGGGTTAATGAGCAGAAAACATAAAAATTTAGCAACCAGTGAAAGAAGCAAAATACAGAAGTACAATGGAAAATGAATCCTAATTTAATATTATAAAGTACTACTTTTGCTCTCAGTGATTGACTAATGATTCCTCCCTTGGTTAGGTTATTTTTTTCCACCAACTAATAACACAAATTAGTATAATAAGATTTATTATTTCATGGTGTATTTTTTTCATTAGCAATTTAGGCAAAATATGTTTAGTGAAAAAGTGTGTTTTTGGTTTTTTGTTTTTTTTGGGGGGGGGACAGTGAAGACAGTCCAATGTTTATTCAAACCACTGCACAGGCCACATTCCCCTTTTGTTTGGTGTTATATCTTCATGAGATTCCAGTGGTTACTCAATGTTTGGAAACATTCATTTGGTTGAGGATACTCAAATGTTATTCCAAATATTCCTTTGGCTAAAACTTCATGTTCATTTCTTTTTGAAAACATTTAAAATAAAACAAGTCTGCTTCAGAACAAATTTAATTTCAATGTAGTAAAATTAACAATATTGAACCCTTACTATGTTTATACCAGATACAATATTTTATATTTATATACACACAAACATATATATGTTTATACATATATGTAATCTCATCTAATTCTCACTGCAAGTCTGTAATGTAAGTACCTTTGTTCTCTTCTGAAGATGAAGAAAGTTAAATCATTTGTCTATCATCTCAGAGTGGTTGGCACATAGTAGACTCATATTAGCATTTACAGAATTAATGACTAAAGAGAAAATGTCTCCCAGCTCACTTATTCGTACTGAAGACTATAGCAAACATATTTTGCTCATAGTTATAAACCAATCCTTCCAAACAGGGTCAGCCTTCAGCAAAATCCAACTGTGGCCCAGCTCTGAGTTCTACATCTCTTACTTCTCCTACTGTTTTTCCCTCCTAATATCCCACTCACATCCCAACCCAATAAAATCTAAAAGGATGACTTTAAATGAGGGTTTCCAGCTTCAATACAGAACCTCACAAAATCTCACATATTTTTATGAAATGTGAGACAACCTACAGTTAAGAGCAGTCTGACATCTGGGACTCCTGGGTGACCCAGACAGTTAAGCGTCTGACTCGTGATTTTTCCTCAGATCATGATCTCATGGTTCATGAGATCGAGCTTCGTGTCACGCTCTGCGCTAACAGGGCAGAGCCTGCTTGGGATTCTCTCTCTCCTTCTCTCTCTTACCCTCCCCCTGCTTGTTCTCTCTCTCTCTCTCTCTCTCTCTCTCATTCTCTCTCTCTCTTTCTCTCTCTCAAAAAATAAATAAACATTAAAAAAAGCACAGACTGGCATCACCTCCTAAATCCTTAAAACCAGTCTCCCATTATATACCAACAGATTGCCTGGGAAAGTTATTTTTCTTCAGAGGGTTAGCTAATTTGTTGTCCAAACAGCAAGTAGCTTTGGTTTGGCAATATTTAGAAAATCTGAACGTTTTTTGTTTACCAGTTCATAGGACCTTACAAAGATGGTGACTTGCCAATATGGGCATTTAAAAAGTTGTCATTCTGAATTAGGATACAAACAAATTTATGGTCTATTAGCTTCAATGTTAATACAACATATCACTTTAATTATTTGACAATATTTTACCAAAACTTTTCCATGTTTATAAACATTTAAATGGAACTATTTCCTAAAATATAAATTAACTTAAAAAAAGGTTAAAATAAAACATTTAGAAATTTAGTTATACCTGAATAAATCACAATAGTATGAGATTCTATTATAGGGAGGAAGAATGAGGATGTACACGACCAAGACCTCAAATCATCTCTCTCTGCTTAGTCTGAGCATCGAAAGGATGTAAGAAATAATGGAGGGTTGAAAACGGTTTTGTATTTGCACTTCACTGTCATACTTACAATCATATTTTCCAAGGCATGTTTGGCAAGCCAACAGTTTAGAAAGACCGGGACAAATAGATTCCTTAAGGAGGGCCAGAAGATCTGAAAAACAAACCAGACTAAACTTTTATCTCAAAACAAAAATCATAGCCAGCAGATTGAAAAGAAATGTAAAACAGGAAAAAAGTGATTAAGGGCCATATAATTTTTTTATTTTTTAATGTAGTTTATTGTCAAGTTGGTTTCCATACAACACCCAGTGCTCATCCCAACAAGTGCCCTCTTTCATGCCCATCAGCCATTTTCCCCTCTCCCCCACGCCCCATCAACCCTCAGTTTGTTCTCAGTATTTAAGAGTCTCTGTGGTTTGCCTCCCTCCCTCTCCTTAATGATTTTTTCCCCTTCCCCTCCCCCTATGGCCATCTGTTAAGTTTCTCCTGTTCCACATATGAGTGAAAACATATGATATCTGTCTTTCCCTGCCTGAGTTATTTCACTTAGCAGGTCATATAATTTTTTAAAACTTGACAAATACTTTAAACTCATTAATGAAATGCGAGGAAAAGATATGACCTTTTCATTTATCATCTAAGTTTTACTTAGGGAAAAATTCTTTGGGAATTATTGTAAAAGCAAAAAGGAAATAATAAGCTCCCACTGAATGTCAGCTACAACTATGGTAATTCTATCATTAAATCTTCCAGTTTGACAGTTTATAACAGACATCACCTCTCTCTTCCCCACAACTTGAGGGGGAAAGTATGAGTAAGGAGAGAAAGTTTTCCCCTTGCACAACACTACCACTTACTCTCTTCAGATTCAAACATTTTAAGTGACATTGGGAACCATATTCAATTGGATTATAGTTAGCCTGTCATTTAATCTAGCTCCATTTGTTCCTCTAGATAAATCACTAAAAGTAAGATAATTATCAGAACTAAGCAACTGCTTTCAGTTATATTTGCTTATTTTCATAATTTTCTAAATAAAACTCAAATAAAGTGTTGGAAAGCATATTTCCAACAAACATTATCATAACTCTATGAAATGGAGACGAAAACACAGCTTTGCAATGGGAAAGTGCTAGTTACATGTTTATGGGACTGAAATTGAGCAGGATCATCGTAGAATTGTCACTTCACAGAATTTGATAAAGAAGCAAAAATTGCTAGCTGTCTGGCTATCGGCAATTTTCTTATTAATGAGAGAACTGAACTTAGTAAAGAATTGTGTTTAAGCTAGAAATAAATATATTCTCAGTATAAGAAACTTTTATAAATACTAGGTGTTTATTGTGTAGTTGACACACAATGTTATATGAGTTTCAGGTATACAACTTAGTGATTTGACAAGTTTATACATTAAGCTATGTTTGTCTTTAAGTATAGTTACCATCTGTCCTGTTAGATCACTATTGCAGTATCATTGATTCCATTTCTGATGCTGTGCCTTTTATTCCCATGACTTATTCATTCATTCCATAACTGGAAGCCTGTATCCCACTCCCCTTCATCCAATTTGCCCAGCCATTCCCCTCCCCTCTGGCAACCATCAGTTCTCTATATTTATAGGTCTCATTTTGCTTTTTGTTAGTTTCTTTTTTTTAAGTCCACAATACACACAAGAAATAGAGTGATTAATTTCTATTCTGTCTAGATAATATCGACACCTGTTTAAATGGCACATCTAGAGCATATATGTCTAAAAAGTGTTTTATTTTGCTATTGCACTAAATCTCATTAGTTTTCATTTAATTTCACAATCCAGTTATCCAACTGATTTTACTATTTATTTTTAATACCATGATTCTAACAAAAGCCCAAAATCATTTATCGGAGCTAATATATATTAGTATTTAGATTTAAAAACTTAAGTCCAATCACCAAATTACTTATTCTAAAGATGCTTTTCGGACTTACTGAGATAATGAAGGGAACCGCATTAATTATTTCCAAGATGAAGGGTATTCGTAAAATCTGTTCCCAGATGTTTCCCTTCCAAGAAAGAATAAATAAAAATGAAAGTCAATTATACTGAATCCCATTAAAGGAGGAAAAAGGCAGCACTCAGAATTTCTCTAGCAAGGATGCTTACATTAACAGAATACCAACTCATTTTACAAAGATATAGCAATGACTTTTAAAGAATATTTTTATAAGTGTAACTGTACTCTCTCAATTTTGAGGTAAGTTTAAGAAGTAAAGCAAACACTTATAGTAATTCTTGAATATTGTATACAACACATTTTGATCATAGAATATTTCATGGAAGAAAGGTTACTAGTAAAAATACAACAAATATCAAGAAACCTACAGAATCAGTAAAAAAATGTTTCAATCTTAATGTTTTTATTATATGAATTACATTCAAAAACTGTAAAGCATATTAAATAGTTTATAAACACATACACTTGTTAATGTTTATTGGTATTAACAATGGTTTTATATTAATAAAACTTAAGGGCTTTTTCAATCACCTAGATTCTAATCTCCTGACCCACATAGTACAGTAATATTAATCAAAACTGGCAACATAATTTGTGGGGTCTAGTGCACAATGAAAATTCAGGGTCTTTTATTAACACTTTATTAATAATTTCTAGAAGGTGACATAGAATATTAAAATAAGAGCAGGCCCTTCTAAATGTATAGCACTGTGCAAATGCACATATTACACACCCACAAACTTGACTCTGATATAAACAGGTTAATCACTGACTCTTTCTCAAATGGTGTCCAGTGAAAAAGAACTCTGGGGGCGTCTGGGTGGCTCAGTTGGTTAAGCATCTGACTTAGGCTCAGGTCATGATCTCGCAGTTTGAGAGTTCGAGCCCTGTGTCAGGCTCTGTGCTGACAGCTCAGAGTCTGGAGTCTGCTTCAGATTCTGTGTCTCCCCTTTTCTCTGCCCCTGCCCTGCTCATTATCTGTCTCTCTCTGTCTCTCAATAATAAACAAATATGTTTTAAAAAATTTTTAAAGAAAAAAGAACTCTTAACTTTCTAAAGCAGTTTATTTCTTTGAAGAGATCTCTATATTAAAAACACAATTGGAAATCTGGGTCCCTGTAATTTTCAATTATTTTATAACACTGGCTTCAAAAGGGAGAGTCTTTCTTAATTATCCTTGAGGTCCCAAAGGCTTAAACAACAGTGATATAAAATACTTCTACATCACAATGCAAGGTTCTAGTTTGGCTAACGCCCGTGTCCTCAAATATTAGGTACTAAGTTTTACTGTTTCTCATTCATTACCAACTCCAGGCTATATAAAAAGTGGTAGAGGAAGCAGGTAGAAGAAATGGGAGCCATGAGAAGCCCTCCATACAGAAAGGTTAGTGGTGCTAGGGAGCTTCTCTCATTACTTCAAGCTAAGTGAGAAGGGCTCAAGAGAGGTACTTAAAGAGCTTGACTCACACATAGAGATTATATTTGGCTAATGCCTAAAACATCTAAATATGAAGAGAGAACAGTGCAACAAGAAAGAGGGCTGAAATGAGAGCAAGTCACAATTATGCCAATTCTAAAACAAAAGTACTTGTTTTCTGGGAACCAGACATGGACCCTAAGGAATAAAGCCTATGGCTATTTTAAAGGAGTTTACATTCAGGAAGGCTGTGTACTTGAATGGGAAGCAAGACCTCAACAGATGGCGATCTCAGGAGTTTAGTCCAGCCAGAGGCACTAAGGCATCCAAGGCAGCCAAAGGCCTAAGGAAGACCACAAGAACCCTACTTTTTTTTTTCTGACATGCAGGACAACCCAAAGTCAGACTATACTTGTGCCAGTCAGGCACCTTCATCCCAGAGGCTGACTTTGCCCACTTCCTGTGCCTCCTCAGTCCTGGAGAACCAGAATCAGCAGCATCAAATAGGAGAGGAAGTGAAAACAGCAGACAACCTCTACAATGATTCCCTGTCCCACGCAGGTCTGAGCCAAGGATTAGATGAAGCCTTAACATGGATGATAATTTTAATGTTTATATATATTGACCATAACTTCTTAAATACTAAAACTGAAATTTGCCTTGTGATTGAAGAGACTGGAAAACTCTGAGACCTGTCTGAGATATCATCTGATCTGCATGGATCAGGTGAATGGGTGGATTTCAAAAAGTGTAGGAAGACTAGAGCTCTTCCCTACTTTCAATGAGTCAGACACGTTTAATAAACCAGTTATAACTGATTTTAATTATGTCAAGATTGTATATGTGTGTTATGTTTGTGTGCAGGTTAATATCACCATTTCACTCATCAGTCTTTTCATGGCTCAGTTTCCAGAATGCTGAACATTTGGTTTATTGTGTCCTTGGTGTATTTTTACTGCTGATTATATATCTCTCTTCAGTGTCAATGACTGTTCACAGGGAAAGTGAATGATGTGATCAACAAAAGGAAGAGTCTGAAAACAGTTACCACTGGTGATATGGAAAGTTATGTCTATTAAGGCACAGCAAGATTATATAGGTTCTCGTATCTGTGAGAGATTCTTTGGAAAAACCTAGTTCATAGTAAACAAAAACCTTTTTCTTTTAAAGAGTCATTCCTTTTTTTTTTTAATGTTTATTTAGGAGAGAGAGAGCAAGCATGCTCACACATGAGTAGGGGAGGAGCAGATAGAGAGGGAGATTAAGGACCCAGAGGAAGCTCCGCATGGACAGCAGAGAACCCCACAAAGGGCTCGAACTCAGAAACTGTGAGATCATGACCTGAGCCGAAGTCAGGTGCTTAACCCACTGAGCCACCCAAGTGCCCCAGCAAAAACCTTTTCTATCTCTGATGGCTTCCTTCATTTCCATTTGTAATACTTCAGTTTTATTTTATGATTTTTTCTCAATTAAAAAAGTCTCATAACTGGTGCTTGACTTAAGTTAATTTCCAATTTATCTTCTATATTGAAGCCAAAAGACTCATTCTAAAATGTCATTGCCAAGACAATAACAACCAAACTATCCTTATATTATATGAAAGTTCATAATCTGGACTCTGGTTAGTAGTCTGGTTTGAACCTACTATACTCTTATTTCCATGTTGAATTTAGCCACAGATTCATCCACACTGAATTTTAGGCGATTCTCTGAACATGGTAGACTATGTCATAGTTTTATAACTTTGCTCATACTTCTCCCTCTGCTTGGAATGCCCTACTCTCCATACCATTACCTCTACTCTCCTGACAAAGCTTTGTAACAGTTTAAAGAACTACTTGTTTTTATGCCCATTAGGGCTCAACAAGTAAGTTAATGAAGAAGTTAAACTGCCAAATATTTTACACATGCTCTTCCCCCTCTTGATATAATTGTGTAATTTTTTTTCTAGTTTATTTACTTTTTAGAAAGAGGGAGAGAAACAGAGAGCTAGCACTGAGACTGTATCCACTAGCGAGTGGGTTGAACAGAGAGAGAGCTCTGTGCTGGGCTTTATGCTGGCAGAAAAATGTGGGACTGTGGGACTCACACTCATAAACCATGAGATCTTAACCTGACCCATAGTCAAACAATTAATTGTCTGAGCCTCCCAGGCGCCCCTGTGTTATTGTTTTTAACTTAAGTATTTCTTTTTCTTTCTATTGGATCCAAATGGAAACACTTGAAAGGATTTTATTGTTCTAAGCCTACCTGAATATAGTTATACATTAGTTGTTTAACTTGTAAACCACAGAGTTCCAATGGAAAGTTTCTGCAGGAAAATATTTTAAGAGTACTTGGTTATATAACTATCTCAGGTAATTTCATCTATGTTTCAACTCCAACTTCTTTTCTTTTTTTTTTTTTTTAATGTTTATTTATTTTTGAGAGAGAGACAGAGACAGAGTGTAAGTGGGGGAAGGGCAGAGAGTGAGGGAGACAGAATCGGAAGCAGGCTCCAGGCTCTGAGCTGTCAGCACAAAACCCAACACTGGGCTCCAACTCACAAACTGTGAGATCATGACATGAGACAAAGTCAGATGCTTAACCGACTGAGCCACCGAGGCGCCCCTCAACTTCAACTTATTTTCAATAATAAACCAATCATTTTTAATGCTGTATCTCTAGCCCAGATCAATACTGTATATCTGAGATTCTGTTTCACCTCCATTACTTAATCCACTGCTTCATACAAAAGCCTCAATAGTACCTTGTGTGTAATACGTCTTGAAGTAAAATTTATGATTTTTGCCTTGATTGATCCCCCAGTAACACAAACCAAAAATCCTGGAGAAACTATTAACATCTTCCTTCCCCCAACTACCTAAATAACTGAGTTTGCCTACTTCTTATAACTCATTCCCTCTCTTTGACCTGGTAGAGGCTCTTGGTAGGTCTCCTTCCCTTCACTCTTGCCCCATTCTGATTCACCTACCAATTTACCTGGATTATTTTTCTAAAGGCACATCTAAAGTGCCATTCCGCTGAATGGCTAATTTCATGATCTAAAATTATACATTGAGGCAATAACCTCATTGCTAAAAATAAATGAATGTCTTTTTATTGTATTCACTAGATTTAATTCTAAGATCTCAGGTTTTCTCCTAACCTGAAAGATATATGAATAAATATCTCCCTTAAAATTAGCTAATCAAAAATAAATATAAAAAGTATTCCTAAGTTTCATTGAGTGTTAGGGAATCTAACTATGTGCCTGCATTATAAAAATCCACATCATAAAAACAATTACTGTGAAAATATATGTACTCATAGAATGACATTATGTAGAGACGCATAAAATAAAATCTAAAATGCCCTTCAAAATTATGTTAAATACTTATTTCAATTAATCTTATTTTCACAAAGGAGGTGACAGGCATGTCTTCTTCCAAAAGATAAATTATTTTTTTAATTTTAATTTTAAATTTTTTAATGTTTATTTATTTTTGTGAGAGAGACAGAGCACAAGTCGGGGCAGGGCAGAGAGAAAGGGAGACAGAATCCGAAGCAGGCTCCAGGTTCCAAGCTACTAGACAGAGCCCAACGCAGGGTTTGAACTCACGAACTGTGAGATCATGACCTAGGCCGAAGTCGGAAATCCCAAACGACTGAGCCACCAGCCATTCCTAATTTTATTTTTTTTAATTAGGTTCCATGGCCAATGTGGGGCTTCAACTCACAACCCTGAGATTAAGAGTTGTACACTTTACCAACTGAGCCAGCCAGGCAACACCCCCCACCCCGCAACAAACAGTAACTTCTTAAAAAAAGAAAAAAGAAATTTCTTAGGTAGCTTTCTTTACTTGTTCTAAGCATATAAAGCTGTGTTTCTTTTATTGATAGAATTCAGTAAAATATAAATAAACATTAATCCAACCATTCTACAATATTTGGTATGGACATCACTTTCCTTAATCAATAAAAATGCAGGAAAATGGGTAATTTTCTAAAATTTATCAGGCTTTTATTTTTATCATAAAGGAAAATGGAAGTTTGTAAACTATTTCTAGGTACCTCCAAAAGGCACTTAAAAATTATAAGATGTATAATAATTAAATTGTTAGTCCAGGGTATATACCAAGAGACTTTTTAAAAACACTTTCTTCAATATTAAAAATAAATACCTATATTTAAAATACATAACTAAAAGGGCTGTTATCTTCGCTCGATGAATTTAAAATAGTGTAGTAATCTTATGGTAGCCTTATTTTGTATTTCTAATAAACTGAACAATATTCAGATTTTCCATCTCCATGGTATCCTAAGCAGAGTCATCAGTATCTAGGAGTCCTTTCCTTTATCAAATCCTTTGTTCCTTGATAAAAAGAAGTCCATTGTGAGATTTGACAATCTCAAAACTGTTGCTTTTTATCAAGTGATTATAGAAAAAAGAACTGTAGATTTAAAAGAAGCCTTCTAGGTATGTTGGATTTTTGTTTCCAGAATTTTAGAAATTATGCTAGAGTTTGTTTTCCTTTCCTTATGATTTAATGAATGTGTATGCATAAATAGAGTTCTACTTTGAAAGCAGTTGATAAAGACATAGAGGGTATTTATGGTAACAGAAGAAAAAGAACTTTACTGCTGGGCGATCCTGGAGCTGTTCTGCCAAGTAGATATCAGCATGAATGGAATGATGTTTAACCACAGACCTGCACTGCTGTAGGATAGAGGACAAAATAAGGTGATGTCAGGGACTTTTAAAATTATCCACTGACCTCAACATATACTTTAAAGGACTTTTGCTTATTTTGCCTTTGCTCATTATTTTTTTCAAAAACTGCAGGCTCCATAATAGTTTAAAGTATTTTAATTGTTAAAGATTAAGTCGTGCTTATTTTAGAATGCTTAATTTCAAGATTTATAAAGTGCTTACAAAATACTATATTGTCTATTTTTAAATTTTGTATGTACACATGTGTATTATCTAAAAATATTCACATTAACTGCATATATAGAAGTAAACAAATTTAAGAAAATAAATACTGATTTGCTATTAATAGATATTTGAGAACATATTGTATCCCAGAACAATATTAGGAATATGTACCAGTCTAATGTAATATCTATTTCTGCATACCTGTCTATAATTTTTCTAAAAATCTAATTTGAGAAGAGGAGCTCATTTGAGATTCTACTATCCAAATTTGCCTTAGTTATAGGCCATAAATAGCTACCAATGACTTAATTTATTCATTCCAAATATTTTATCCAACAGCCTGTTGGAGGGGTAATAAGAGTCTAAGTTTGACTGAACTTATGAGAGGAAAAAGAAGGTAGTTAATAGCAACCTATCCTTCCAATTTCACATAACTCTTTTTATCCTTTGTTTCCTTTGAAACACACAAAATTCAACTACCACTCACCTCTCCACCATCTAAGCCATTAGTATTTATGAAGGTCGGAAGGGAAATATTATATATCATCTAGCTCTTATAATGCCACTAGGTCTCATAATGCTTTGCTCTCATTTTATAAATGGCAGAAATTAATTAATTACAAGTGTCAACATCAAATGAATACAATGGAAAATTATCTTGAATCTGTGTTTTTTAAATGACTTTTTAAATTAGGGCTAAGAGTTTCAGTAAGCACCAAAGTTAACTTCATATTACTGTTTGGCTAGAATTTAGAGCAAATACATTCACAAATGTAGATTAATATTTTAGCCAGTTATGTATCCGTACACACTCTAGAACTAGTGGAAGAGGTTTAATTCATTTACCAAAAACACCCATGTGCCTAAATTTTTAGCATGTCATTTTTTGTATATTACATTCAACTTTCATCATGTACTTGAATATTGTTACTTCAAAGAAAAATCTTGAATATTAATTCACTTGATCTGTATTTTGTTCTTCTAGGTATACAAAATCCAGATTTGTCAATCAGTATATGTTTATAGAGCACCTATTTTGACAAAGAGATATATTTATAAGCGAATAAAACATCTTCAACATCTTAATATAAACAATTCATCATTGAGTGAGTAATTAGGTGATTTAAGGATGAGTGACTACCTATATGTAAGGTCTTTTAGCTTCCCTTCTCTAACGTCAAAATATTCTTTCATGCATCATTTTCCATATTCTGTGCTCTCAGAAAAGAATGGAATGTATCCAAATGGAATGAATCAGTAGACCTCAGGTTCCTAATCCAGCTTATTCTTACTTTGTATAAAACTTGCTTTGTCTATTACTTTTTTCTGGTCGCCTCTACCTACTTTCTATAAATGATGCAGATTTTTTCCATCATTGGCAATCTTCTATGCCTCATTTGACCACTTTTAGTGAGCTCCTAACCCAGTCAATCAACATTCCTCACTTAACGCTTTTTACCTTCAATTGTACACTACTAAAATTTTTTCTTACAGGTGAATAGCAAATGATTTTCTAAACTGTAAATCCAATGACCTTTTCTCAAGCTTCTTACTAAACTTGTAATTCCAATGCTTTCAGACACTTTTCTTCCTTAGAATTTCAAACATCCAATTTTTTCTCACAAATACTAAATCAACCCATCTATATTTTTTGAAAAGCCCACATTCTTTTCTTTCTATACTTTCTAACTCACCAATCTCACCTCATTAGATATTAGCATTATTTTCTTTAGATGGAGTTAAGGATAATTTTTTTAATAAAGCCACAGGAAAAGGTAAGTTTGTAAAGATTTCTTGCTCCAAGTTTAGGATTAAAAGGATTATCTTCAAATCCTTACGTCTTAAAAGTGAGAAAGCAGTTGATATGCTAGATACGAGTTCCCCCACAAATAACTTTTAGTAGGGCATTTGTTGATATAGTACATGTAGAAATGTGAACTGAAGGTTAGTGATGAGTATGACAGCCATTCTGAAGTCTTTCTGCCCTTCTTGTCTATGTCTCTGTCTTCCCTGATTACTCTGTTCTTCTTCCAACAACCACAATGTAAGCATCTCCATCCAATGAGTCTTGGCTTCTCCCTCGTTATTATCCCATACTTAATAAACTTGTATACTTCCTCCACTATCTCTGTGAAAATGACTTCCACATCTTAATTCTCTGTGTTCCAGATTCTCATTTTTAGTTGTCTGCATGCCCTGACTACCTATTTGTCCATAAGCATCTCAAATGCATTATTTCCAAAACTATTAAGATTATTCCATCTATCTTGACCCCACTCTGATTTCTTTCTTGATATAATTTTCTTAGTTTTACTACCATGTTCCAAGTCATTTGAATTTAGAAAATATTAGTGATATGTGACTTTACCTTTTCCCACTTTTTCAACCAAACAGATGATGATTTCTTTAGTTTCTACCTTTATATTTCATCTTACATCAACTCTGTCTATTCCTTTCACCCAGCTAAAACCTCACTCCCAGTTTTCCTTTCTGCAGTTGTGTCTTAATTGAGCACATGGCCTTAGTGTGATGTCTCTCTGACCTGTGCTGCACAGATGTTCTGAACTAATACTCCTAAAACTTAATTACAATAATAGAACTCTCATGCTCAACATCCTTCATCAAATTCCCATTATATGTTGCCATACAAGGCCCTCACAATATTGTGCCAAATTTTCCCAACCAGTATTTTCCCAAATGCCCCAAAATTCTTCCCAAACTTAAATATTCATTCTTCTTCCAATTTTATATGCACATTACTTCTTTTATACCTTTGTTAATTCTATAAATCCTTAGTGTCTTGCCTCTCCATCTTTCCTTATTGAACTCGTTGACTCACGGACTTTGCTTAAATCAGTCAAGTATTTTCACCCTATGATATGACATCTCTATACCACCATAAGGACTTCATTTGCACCTCACTGAAAGTACCTCATATGCTATTTTGTATTATTATTGTCTGCATAATTTTCTCCTACCTATCCCCCTTTCTAGATGGAAAGTCACTGAGAGAAGAACAATGAACAGTATAGAGCTCTTCATCAAATAATATTTGTTAAATTGTTTTAAGCAAACACAGCTTCACCAAAAATAAAGAGAATTCATTAACATAATTCCTAACAGACATATTTTTTCTCCCTCAATATTTTATACAGATGAGGAAAAGAGGTTAAGAACAATTAAAAGCCAAACCATTCTATTTGCTTGCCTCATATGAGCATGTATATAATAGGTAATTAGCCCACAGGAATTAGTGAAATATTTTCAAGCCACCAAGGAGAACATTACTATATAACCATGGATTTTTATCACATACTACAGAGGCCCCAAATAATTAGAAAGGTTTAAGAAGAACTTGCTTTATTCTCAAGGTACAAATTATAAACAGAGGCATACTGGTAAATGCTAGTAATGTGTTCTATCAGCAGAAAATTTCTAATTAAAATAACTTACCTTATAGCTGAGATAACCAAGTAGTATTGTTTCAAATAGACTTATCAATGCCACTGAAACCTGGAAAATAAACATACTTTAATGAGAAAATGCAAAAGAATTAAAATATATATACTCATGATTATAGTACTTTACTTATAAATATTTGCATATATGCATATGCATTTGTATAATATACAGATATAGGTGTAAGGAGGTAGTATGTGGCACTTTAACTTCCATATACACAGGAGAGGTTGCAGACTATCCCCAGCCACTATAAGCTTAGTATTACAATTTCTAATACTCCTCAGTAAATGCTTATTGTTTACTATCTCAAATATAAATGTGGAATTGGAAGGGTCAGACTAGCTGGAGCTTGGGTCATGATACATAAAGAATTGGTTCTTTTGTGTATGTTCCTAATATGCACAATCACACACAACTGCCCCAACCACAAACACCATCCTCTCCCAGCAACACTTCCACCACCTCTAGAACATCTACCAAAAATATTCCTTTCAGAAAAAGAAGGAATATAAGCTTTGAGTTGAATGATACTTTCTATCCTATCACCCACCTCAAGCAAAATGAAAGAGGAGCATCCTTGAACACTAAACAAAATAGTCTATGTCAACACTTCAAGGTACTTTCAGATTTTGTTTGAAAGAACTTCCCCTTTCACACCTGGAAGAACATGTCCTACATCCTCCTAGACAAGTTTCCATCTTTTTCTACATCCACTATTGTGTATACAATTTCCACTCCTGAACGACCAAAAAGCTATGACTGCACAACAGGAAAAGTAACTAAAAAGGATATCCAAATGATTTTGTATTAAATACTCTCAACACTTTGGGGTAGATGAATAGAAGAAATTAAGCAAGCATAAACAAGAAATGACTCAGAGAACAATTATGTTTGGTTACAGACTTTTGAGATTTCAGACAATCTGCATAAGAAAGGCAGATACGCTGGAATTTTAAATTTTAACTCCTGTTGGAATGAAAGCTTTGATTTAAGTGAATATCAAAACAAAAAGATAACAAAACAGCATATGAACGCATGGCAATATAAGTAAATTATGTTCAGAAATACGTATGGTAGTCCGGCATTGTTCTGATGTTAAATGCACATCTCTTAGATTTTTCATGCTAGTCCTTTAAATCATAATCATCCGTGCTTTTTTCCTATAGGTAGTGCTAGAAGATCCCTACAACACTTGTGGCATGACTACTCAAAATCCTTTTGTAAAATAAGCATTATCATTACAGTAAAATATCACTATTTGATAAAAGCAATTTGAATAGATCAAAATATATTTCAAGGCCATATATGACTACTCTGAAAAATATTAACTTACTTTAAATATACATCTCACTGAAGGATAATATAGGAATCAAGCTAGAGATTAGTAGACTGAATTTTTAGTAAACACTTAAATATTTGAAAGAGTATTTGTAATTAATGACATTGCAACACAAATCAGTATAAAAAAACCATAAAATACAACTTGACTTCAAAAAGTATGAAATATCTAGACACAGTAAAAATGTGATTTCATAGTTATGATCACAACGCATACACAACTAAAATAATTCATCATAAACTTTAAAATGTACGGACTTTACAACCCTCATGACTTTAAAGAGAAACTGAACATTTGATTTTAACATATTTTAAAGGATGTTTATAAACAGGGAGCTTTAGAGTTTTTCTATTACTTCCAGACTTAACTGTCTTCCAGTCTGTAATTTTTTACCTTTTTATCTATTCTTTGGATAACTTTCACATTTGAAAAATAATAGAAAATAAAAAGTATCTGTAGGAGAGACAGGAGTAGAGGAGATGGGAACTTGTAAAAAGTTTGCTGGTCATAAAATTCAATAGAACAAGGAACAAAGAAGAGATACAGACAACTCTAGGGAGCAGCTCAGCAACATAATTCAGACATGCTGTTCCCTCTCATATTTTCTGACTCTTTCTTCAGGATGCCTTTTATAGCAGAACATACTTTTTGTTTTATTTACAAAATTATCTATTTAGACACCAAGCTCTTGCTATTGGTAATATGAGCCATTCATTCATTTGTTTATTCATTTAATAATTATTTATTGAGATTCTGTCATATTCCAGACACTATGGAAATAAAGTAGAAGAGCAAACATGGTTATGGGATTTTAATTAGTTTTTCAAGGATTATATAAGGCGAATACCTAAAGTAGTTTGGGGAACTTGTGGTGCTTTAACACACTCCTTTACTCTGGTTTTCTCCAAACATTCAAAAGCTTTATAAAGTCAAATCCTGATCAGAAGGGAATTCTCAAAAGGTAGAATGCAGGACTCAGGGAAACAAAGATAGAAATAAAATCATTTGTCTAAGATGTGCATCAAGATTAAGTAAGCAATAAAGCAAATTCATTTCTATTATCAACAGTTTTCTCTCCAATAGTATTTCTCTGTAAAATATGATTAAATCCAGAAATATAGGAATAAAACAAAATTGTACATAACCTGTAAGCCCCATAAAGGTAGACTTCTGTTCACCCAAAAGATATGAGACCTATAAAAAAAAGATGAGATATTAATTTTTAAAAACATGAAAAATGCACTCTTTTTAAATTTTCAATTGAAGTTGGAGATATTTAAATAATGTTTCATTAAAAGACAATAAAATATCAAAATTAAAATTAGAAAAACTTTATATTGTTTCAGTTTTCATTTTGATAATATTCACTTCTCTTCCAAGAACAGAAAATGGCTTATTCCTTATAAAGCATTTCTAATTTCATTTTCATTCTCATGTTAATATGAAAGAAAAGATAATGTCCTCTTATTTAAAGAGTGATTATGGCAAGGTAGAAAAACCTCAAACCCTTTATTAGTCAAATCTCCATTGAAAAGTCACTTAAGGGTTTGCCATAAACTCTAAGATTTTGTTATTTTAACACCATTAATATTTTGACAATACAAAGTCAACAGTATCAGTAATCGGAATTAAGTAACTCATAGAACACAGTAGTATTTCAGATTTGGATTTGTATAAAATTTTAAAAAATCTGTGGCGAGTCTAGCATAAAACCTTAGGCAGGACAAAGAGCAACTATCCTTAAATATCCCCTAAAAATCATATAATCCCTGATGCTAGAAATTTTAAAACACCATGCACTTCTAATTTCCCATTCATTATAATTTTTAAAGTAGGCTTCAAGCACTGCATGGAGTCCAGCTCAATGACCCTGAACTTAGGGACCCTGACTCCAAGAATCACATGCTGTATCAACTGAGCCAGCCAGGTGCCTCAACTAGTTATAATTTTTAACGATTTATACCCTACTATTGCCTACATTTTTTGTAGACAGCTGATTCAAATCAAAGTCACTCACAGCAATATAATCTGCTCATGAAAAGGTGAGAAGGGTTATATTATGCTGCCCAAAAAAATGCAAATAAAAAAAAAGAAACTATACAAAACAGAACAAAGTCTATTCACTGTTTACAGTTATGAAGTATTAAAGGAGTCCCATAAAATATTAAGGCTATTTTTAAATCTTTAAGGTATTTCCTTTTGGTAATATGTAGAGAGCAATAAACTCTCTAAAATTCTAGTTTTAAAAAAAATTATAAACTTTAAAATACCATTCAAAGAACTTATCTATCTTATTAAAGTAGAGTATTCTGTTATTCCAGAATGTCACATCTACCTGGAAAACTGATATCTTCAGTTGCTCCAAACCAAACCTGTGACCTTTCGCTCAAAAACCGGTCCTCTCTATTTTTACCTCTCAGCAAATGGCACCAAATTCCATTGTGTTTGGTTACCCAACAACTTAAGCATCATTTAGATTCTCTCCTCTCCTATATTTGCAAATACTTAATACACAAGTCATCAAAACTTTCAATGCTTTCCACCAAATATCTGTAGAATACATCTACCTTTCTTCATCTCAACTACCACAATCATCTCAATCTAAAATACCACTTTCTGCAATTGGGACTCTTGCAAAAGCCTACCAGCTAGGAACCTACACTTCTTTTTGCCTTCTAAGTTACTACTAAACAGATTCTTGCTAAATGAATTTTAGGTCACATCACCCCACTATGTATTGGCACTACACATTTGTTAAGATAAAGACCAAAACTCTAAAACGGCATTCTTTTTTTAAAAAAAATATTTTATTTATTCTTGAAAGAGACAGAGCATGAACAAGGGAGAGGCAGAGCTAGAGAGGGACACAGGATCAGAAGCAGCCTCCAGGCTCTGAGCTGTCAGCACAGAGGTGGACTCGGGGCTCAAACTCACAAGCTGTGAGATCATGACCTGAGCCGAAGTCAGATGCTCAACCGACTGAGCCACCCAGGCGCCCCTAAAATAGCATTCTTAAACTTACTCAACTGTGACATGACCACACCCTTTTTTACATGAGCTCTACCCTTATCCTAGCTCTCAGTTCAACACTCTCAGGGAAATCTTACATGAGGCTGTCACTTGATCAATGTAGTCAACTAATCTCTTTGGCAATGTCACTCACCACATTTCTCCTGCTATTTATGTTCATTGTAACTTACATTTATTTGCAGATGTATTTCTTTAATAATTATCTATTCATTAAACTGCAAGTTTCCCTAAGATGAAACAGTATGTCTATTTTACTCACCATTACAGTCCCAGTGTCTGTATGAGTACATGCCTATAGTAAGCTGGGCATTCAGTATAAACAAACTGATGGTACCATAAAAGCAAAAATATGGCTGATGAGTTCACAACACTGTCCTTTCCAAAACACATCTTTTATATCTTCAGTGACAAGATATGTAAGACCGAAGAGGGATATGGACACAGTTTTCATAGATGAAAATTACGTGCCACAAAACCAACTAAAATTAAGTGAATAGCAATCCCTGGAAAAGTATAAAGTAAATTGTGAATCAGAAGTTTGAAAGCATTTTCAAAGAGAAATTAATACTTACTATGGATTTACTGAAAACTAGTTATCAAACAAATAGCATTTCTTTTGGTCCAAGATGTTGCTTTGATAGGTCCTGAAATGTCATAGAGCATTTAAATTTAAATAAGACTCTGAAGAAAAGCCTTTTCTTAGACAAGACTGGGTCATGTGGAGTAGGTTTCATAATCTTTAAAAGAACATTTCTACAAAACTCTAACATATAAATTGCAGTGTGAAGTGAGATCTCCAGTGGAGATCATCTTTTCCACCAATTTACTTAGTGCTAAATTGGATAAATACAAAGAAGTACAAGGCATAAATGATAGTAAAAACTAGTGCCCAAACTCTTTTTCATAACGTGAGTTTATCGTGAAAAAAGAATGTAGGAGCTAATTTGCACATTTCTAGATCACCTCCAGAACCAAGAAGTGAAAGTGAACCTGGCAATCAGACCATAATTCCAAATGCAGATTTAATCCCACAGACAATAAAGTACTAGGAGGAAAGAATACCTGTACAGGAATATTTATTATAGCATTATTTGTAGTAGGAAAGGAGCTGGAAGAGAATTAAAGTGGCCTCATCATCAACAATAGCAAAAATAACATGAATAAGAAAAAAGTCATTGAAAAAAGCGATGTATATAAAATTGCCCTTACTATATCAGTATGAGCATGTTACATGTATATGTGTTCACACGGAAAGAAGTTAGAAAAGATTGCTCATCAAAATACTGAAAGTATTTATTTCTAGGTATTGATAAGTTAGGTAATTTTTACTTCCTTTCCTTGCCATAAGTATTCATATAGTAATAATCATGAACCAACTATAAAATCATAAAAAATAAAATAAATTTCACTTTCTTAATTATAAAAAATAAAAAATAAAACAAGAGTAATCATAAAAACAAAATTTGTATGATTCAGTTGTTCAGATTAAACTAAGTTTATAGATAAAATCCATGTTTGAAGCATCATTGTGAAAACTGGAAGAACCATACCCACCCAATGGAAGTTACAGCAACAGTTAAACATAGAAAGTTAATGACCTGTAGCCTCAGCCACTTTTCACAGCATGCTTATTTATGGCTTCTCCAAAAGGTAAGAAAATAGCTGCTAAAAATGTCTGATAAGCTTTGGCAGCTGAGGCAGAAGTCCAGGGCTGGGTTAACCAGAAGAATAAAGCATTTGTTAAACACATGAGAGTAATAGGGTCAATATGTGGGCCATAATTTATATGAAAGAACCCTGTGACTCACAAACTTGAGATGAACGCAGATTGTTAGCTCTCCAAGACAATGAATACAAGCCTGTGTTATAGTAACAAAGTATAATACCTTAAACCAGGATGGAAATGATAAAACTCTCCTAATCATAACAAATACTGAGAACTGAGTACTAGGTATGATACTAGGCTCACATCTTAACAACTTAAAAAATTAAGTGTGTCTGAAACCAAGGAGACTAGGATACTGATGTATAGTAGAGTTCTGACCACATATTAGGGAGATTTTTCAGTAACTGATTCCTTTCAAAAATCTAGATATATTCATACCAGGCTAGACAGCCTATCGTCAGGGTGTTACAGGGAGGACTAAATACTAACTTTTTAAGAGACTGGACTTTTAAGAGTCTTTCCATTACCTACGCACTGCCTTAGGCTTTCTATCAACATTCTTCTTCCCTCTCCAAGATAGAGTTGAGTGCAAAAAGCCACTCTTGACCCAAAGGCTACATTTCTCAGCCTTTGAGTGAGAGTATGGTGATATGACTGATTCCCACCTGAGATCTGAGAATAACATACAAGTAAAAGTGTTGCTTGTCATTTGTTCGACAATAATTTCAGGAAGTGTATATATACCTTCTCCATGCTCTTTTTATCTTTCTGAAAGCTGGAGAGGATTCTTAAGTCCCAAAATATAGACACAAAATAAAAGTGGCCTGCATACATAATAATGTATTTACATGTTATAGAGCTTGTGCGTGTGTGTATGTGTTAATCACTGTAGAAAAGATCTACACTAAGAACACCAGCATTAGACTCCAGTAAACAAAAAAAAATTCTTTGAATTTTTTTATATTATATGTTGGAGAACTTGGTGCTACTTCTATCTCTACTGTAACTAATATACATGACAGAAGAAAAGGTCTACATTCTTTCCTATTGGTTATCAAAATTTTATTTCTCCTTTTAATAACTGTTAACCTAAAAAAAATAATCTTTAAAATGTGAATGTCACTTAAACACATTTGTTGCTCTATTAGGCACTGATTTTCAATGTAAATCCAAATACTATAAAGTATAAGCACATTCATGTACTTCTTACCTCTGTCTCTATCCCTTGATATTAAAAACTAATAATCACTTCCACAATTTTTAAAATGGATGAGGATGCATTCATTTTGACACACAATGTAGAACTGTAAACACCAGCAGGCAAAGAGTCAATAATGGCTCATGAATGAAATTCATAAACTACATGCTGGAGGTGTGTTTCCTTTGCTAATGCTTATAAATCATTTGCTACAAACTGTGTGGACATCACAGTTTTTCACTTGCACAATTTCATACATTAACAATAACATTTTTTCATATCCTCAGTTGTCCATACTTGCAACATTTTCATATCAATTTTCACTCTTGAGGGACTTAAAAATAAAGCAAAGCCGCACAAAATATCCACAGCTTTATTATGTCAGAAGCTCTAATTAAATAAATCTCTTTGCTGAATTAGTCTCATTATTTTAAAATAGAGCCTGTGCCCATAAAGGCCACTTCTGTTTTTCATTAACCAATACTGCATTGACAATGGGAACTGAACAGAACATTGTATTCAAAATGGAGCCATAAGTTATGCTGTTATGTTTTTTAATTGCAGTAATCTGGTTTTTCAAATGTATATCCTCTATAATTATGGCTAAATATTCTCAGTAATATGACACAGAAGTTAATTGTAGGAAACTTTGTTCCCCTTAATGTTTTTCAAATAATATAATTTTACTCCACCATCATCCCCCAGCGCCCTTTCACCCGTAGAGAGATTCTATCATGCCTTATTTTATGATTTTCAGATCACTCTAACGTACGTTTTAATTATAAATCACCAAGTTTTAAGAACTATTGTGGTGTGCATTTGTAAGGAAGTATAGTGTGAACCATTTTTAATAATACATAGACAGGAAAATGCAATAAATGTTAATACACACTGCCGTCTCTAGCCAGTGGTCCTTAATCATCTTGATTGCACAACACTATCAATAAAACTTTTGAACATAATTCCATTTATTCAACAACATTCCTTGACCCACAAAGTCTTACACTAAGTATGAGAGCTACAGAGGCAAATAGAACACGGTCCTTGCCCTTGGTAAGCATATAAAGAGAACAAAGAAGTAAATAGTAAAATCAAGGGCAGTGTGTTAAGTGTTGGGACAGAAGTGGGAGGGGGGGTGTATCAGGGAGGCTCAGAGAATCCTTAGAAGCTTCTCCTAACCCAGAGTAAAACTGGGCTATAGATCAGGATGTCAGATAAGAATTTCAGATAAAGTATCATCCAAGAAATTGCTACCCTGAAGGTCTAGAAGTCCAGAAGCAAGTTAAAAAGGAGTAGGTAGGTAGTGATATGGGAAACAAAGGCAGAAGGAAATGGCAAATTAAATTCCTTAAAACCTGTAGCCCATTGACAAATACTTGAGGCTGGCAGAGCAATGTTTCTCCAGGAACCCCCTACTGTCTTAACGCTAATGCTTTGCTAGAGGGAAAAACAACCTCAGCTTTACCATAGCTAGCTCTCCCGTATCCTGTGAGTCTTCTTTAGCATATGAAAATCTCATTAGAAACTTCCCCTGGACATTCCCTCTCCCAACTCCAGAGTATATAACCAGTCTGTACTCATGGTCATGGGCCACTCCTTCTGCCCATTCTCCTGTCCCATGCTGTTAATAAAATCACCTTTTTGCACCTCAGTTCCGGACCCCCCAAACCCCACTATCACCTCAAAACCTCACCAGGTAGTGAGTGAGACACAGGAATGGAAAACAGAGGTTCAAGAAGACAAAGCAGAGAATGCAAAGTCTCCGAGACAAAGGAGAAAACAGTATGTGTAAGTGACTTCAGGTAGGTGAGCTTGGCTGGTTAGGGGCTGAGGTGAGGTGAGGTGAGGTAAGCAAAGGTCAGGTTATAAAAGACCTTCATTTATTCAGTTATTCACTCACTCATTTAATAAATAACTACTGGTTGTCTGGGTGGCTCAGTTGGTTAAGCATCTGACTCTTAATTACAAGTCTCATGGTTCCTGAGTTTGAGCCTCGCATCTGGCTCTGTACTGATAGTGCTCCTCTCTCTCGGCCCCTCCCCTGCTTACGCGTGCTATCTTTCTCCCTCTCCATGTCTATCTCTCAAGAGTAAATAAATAAATTTTAAAAAAGAAATAGCTACTAAGAGTTGAATTTGTGCCAGGTTCTGAGGATTCAAACAATAATCAATGCCTCATGGAAGAACTATTGCAATCCACGTGAAATACACAGGAAACGAAACAAGTATGTATAATATATGAAAGATATAAAGGCAGTGGAAAAAAGTTAAAAGGGAAAAGAAAAAAAAAGCACTTGAGGGAGTCTTATGAGGAGAATACAATTTTAAACAGGATATTTAGGTAAAGCTTCCCTGAAAATACAATTTTGAGTAAAGATCTGAGGAAGTGTGCCTTATGTTATCTGATGGAAGAGAATTCCAGACAGAGGGAACAGCAGGTATGAAGGCCTGAGCCAGCTTTAAGGCTGGTATGATCCAGAAACAGAGAAGAGGCCAATGTGATTGGAACAAAATGGGTGGGGGAAAAGGAGAAGGAGATGAAGTTACAGAGAAGCCATAGGAGGCACCTCGGCATTGAGAGCACAGCCACGTCAAGATCCGACTTAGATTTTACAGAAACGCCGACTGCTATATTAAGAATAAACCAAAGGGGAGCGAAGGTGCAATTAGCAGGACTAATTCGGAGGTCTCCTGCAGTACTCAGGTGACAGAAGGTGGCCCGTGCCAGGGTGGCAGCGCTGAAAATGATTCTATGCTGGATATATCTTGAAAGTAGAAATGACAGAATTTTCTAAGGGGTTTGCATATGCTGCAGAGTGTGAGACCAAAAGAGAAGTTAAGAATAACTCGAAAGCATTTGGCCTGAGCAACTGTCAGGTTGGAATTTGGTTCTGCTGAAACGTGGAAGGCTGACAGTGGAGCAGGGCTGGGGGAAGCTCGAACTGTCACCTGCTGAGATGGGGAAGAGCACACAAGAAGCCTTGGAACATGACACCTTCAAAATGCCTATTAAACACCCAAGTAGAGAGGATGAATATGCAGTTTAAACTGAGGGGGTAGGAATTGGAAACTGCTGGTCTCTATGGTCAATGACTTAATCAGGGAAGAAAGGCAGAAAAACATTAATGCTGAAGGCCTCAAATCAAAGGGGAAATATGAGAAAATTTCTGCTTCTCTGTATGTCAGGTGGGAATAATAAGATTGAGTGTATATTGAATGAAATAACATAAATAAAACAACTAGTCCAATGCCAGAAAAGAGCAAGAACTCCAAAATATACAACCTTTCACAAGCTGAAAAGTCCCTGAGGGTAGTGAATGTTATATCTTGACACACAGAAATATAAATGCATGCCAAGTATTCAATAAAGATAGAGTGGGACAGCCATAATTATATTTCATTAAATAAAAATTGTATAAAGAATTATCACATAAATGGTTATATAAGAAAGTGTCAGTTGTTAATCTTTAATCCTTTAATAAATACAGAATAATTTTCACTGTCTACACAAGCTGAGGAGTAACCGATTCATTTAAATGCACATTATATCCTCACTTTCCATTTTAATTTGCTCTTTTGTATTTCTCAATTTTCTTAAGGCAAACCTCCACATGAAAAATACAGTTGTACATAAGTTGGCCATCAAATTTCTTTTCTGCTTTGAAAATTATTTTAAATTTAGTGGCTTGGACAGGAACTCAAGGTGGTGAGGAGTTCAAAATTATTCATGCTATTACACAGATAGTTCCCTTCCCTACTACTTCTAGTGAAGGAAAGAGCTTAAAAAGGGAAGTCTATAAATGAAAGAAATGCAATTTAATAAAAGCAACATGATAATGAATGGAAAAAATAAGTTAAAACAAGTCAGTAAGTCATTTAACTCAAATAAGATAAAGAGCTATACAAGCTAAATCTGAGACTTGGTGATGCATTCCCAGAACATGCTAGAGTGTTTCAAAAGTCACTAGACTTTTGTTGTTGTTGTTGTTGTTGTTATTGTTGTTGTTTTGGGATTTTTTTGAGGATTTTTTTTTTTGGTTTTCTTTTAGATTCCACTTATAAGTGAAATCATACAGTATTTCCAGTTTTCTAACTTATTTTACTTAACATAATGCCCTCAAGGAATCTTTAAAAAGAAAAGGTAACACCTAGTATAACTGAAAATACTTACAAACCTGGCATACAAGAGTATACCTTTTTGGAGTATATGTAAATCAAGAATAGAAAAGTATATGGGTCTTTAAAGAGACTAACTCCATACTAAGCAATTAAACTGAAAAGCCAGATCAATTTAATTGAGACAAATACCTAAAACATCCTTAAGAAAATGAGTTCCATAGAACATCCTTCAAAATACAATTCAAAATAATCAAAAAAATGTTGTAGTTCAAAGACATCTTACCATTCATTTCCTTGTGAAGGGTTTTCTAGTAGCACTCGGATTATGTATAATAAACAGCTTAGTAATTTGAGAGAAAAATTGAATAGACGAATTCTTAGACCTTTAAACAAACAACAAAAATTTAATTTTCATTTTAACTTAGTTCACAAGACTAAAAAATTGCCAACAATAACAACTTTAAGTAGAGCACTTAAATTGTATTTAAAAACTACAATACCATAATTGTCTAAAACTCTTAAATTTTAGGCATCTGAATTTTAATTAGCTAAATATTGAAATAAATAGTGAGATTGACAGACTGTGTGCACTGCAAATGGCCACAAATATCATACCCAAGAATAAATCTAGGTTTGAGCATTGAGAAGCCACAAATATGACTGGTTCAGATATGCTTAGAAGTGTAAGCATTTTTTATATCCGTGAATTTTGGAATAAATTTTAGCTAGCTAGAAAATCTAGCTGCTTATAAATTCACCATATAAGTTATACAGCTTTTACCTTCAAGACACCTTGTAGATTTGATTGTGAAGGAATTATAATCATGTATATAATTATATATTATACATCCAGTAATTACATAATTATAGAAGAATCATAGTAGCATTTGCTGGAAAATACATAACACACTCACACACATTTTAGTTCGACCAGTTGAAACTTACTATTTCCTTTAGGTTAAGTACCAAGGAAATCTTAGATATTTGGGGGGTATTAAGACTGTCATGTATGTACCTGTGAAACTGTGTAGGTCACAGCTATGCAGCCTGTAATACTTAGTGATGAAGAAGAGCAATTAACATTAAGCAAAATATGGTTAAAGTCTGATTAATAGAAGCATTACCTTTCCTGTAATTATCCAGTGGTATCTGATTCATGCATTATGAATAAAATTTTGAGAAAGGTCTTCTTATAATTATTATTTAATAAAATCTGCAAATGAAATGTCATTTTTTTCTCTGCTATATGTGAGTGTACTTGAAGTAACATTTCTTAACAGTAAAAGGTTAATGCCTAGTAATTTTGTAATTTTCTTAGGCTTCCCTATTAAAATGGTAGGTATACTTTTTATGGGTTAGCTTCTTTATAAAGTCTTTTAAACTGTTAATGAAATTGCCCTGGTTTTATAGAACTGGTCTCCTGAAAAGACTGCTTAATCATAGTTGAGTGCTGGTAAAGTACTCAAATAATGCATCTACCTTTTCTGGCCTGGAGAGATAGAATTATTAGCATTAAGATCAAGAAGCCCTTCTATTCAAATGATATGGCCCCATTAGGATAGATCTATTGGTAGGACTTCCTTGGAAATTCTAAACAACCAGATTAGAGAGGCATTAGCTATTCTTAGCCTTAACCTTCCAGCTAAATTGCCATTAAGAATCTCTAAGCAATGTGTCTTACATACTGAAATACTCCCTATCGTCAGTATTTTGGTAACTTCCAACAACTCAAGCTTTTCTCTTTAAACCCCACAGAGGCATAACTCAATTGAGATGACCCAAAGAAGATTCCAGGGTCAAAATTCAGAAAGAACAAAGCCTACACCAATCTAATATAGACCTTTCCACTGTTTGTTTACATTTTAAGCAATAATTGTATGAAAAAGTGCACACTGACTTATTATATATGGCTTTTTAAAAATATGAGGTATTATAAGGAGGCAGCAAGTGTCACTGACACATCAATCTTGTCTGCTCTTGGCTCAGTAACTATGTTTATTTCATGTCTTCCTCAAGTTGCAATGTTTCCCAAATTTATCTGATAAGAATCAGTGGAGTGTGAACTCTGCACTGAGCCCTACACTTCCTGATTCAAAATCTCCAGAGAAGGATGCTAGTAATCTGTACGTTTCAGAAAACCCTAGATATATCTTGTTATCAGGCATGAATCAGAAACATTAAACTCTTCCCCAGTAAATCAGTTTGAGAAGGATAGAGCCTTCTCAAACCAAGGTTTACATGTGCCTCACAGTTAAAATAGGGGACCCATCATTTAAATTATTTTCCTCACGAATCCAAATGGTCCTCTAACAAATCCACCTACTGGTGTGGGATTTGGGGAACTGCAGTTATTCAAACACCCTAACACCACCACATGTAACATCAACAGGTTTCTGAATTTTTACTGTGTGGCAGAAAAGATTATCAGATTTATTCTATATAAAAGATATTTTGCAAAAGGATTGTACAGCTGAATTTTTTTAGTTAAATATATGTACAAATACATTGATGGGAGAATAAAATGAATGACTTACTTGATCTCTGGTTTTTGATAAAAAATAACTTTAGTCTTTCTTTAAATGTGTTTTCATTCATATAGAATTCAACTTGTACCCTGCAAGCAGAAGATTAAAATATAATTAAAACTAATAATACATTAAAAATGAAATTATTTCAGTTAATGCATTATAATACACTTTGAACAAACCCTCACTACAGAAAATGAAAATTGAGTAAAATACTGAATTTTTTGGAGAAAAGCAGTTACTTTCCAATTCTAAACATAGTAAGTTCAAATATGATACATATTTAATTCTATTATCAGCATTAGTGGATGTAATGAGTGGTATGGATGATTCAAAACAGAAATAATATGTGTCTTTGGAATAATTTTAGAATCAGCATTTTCCCAAGTTTTTCCCCTGTTATTAAAATCAATTGGATGTTTGAATGCCATCAATGCAAATTGATATAGAGTTTGACCACCACCACCAAAGCACTGCATCAGAATCTTAAGGGACTGGATTTGAAAATCTATTTTTAACAAGTCCTTCCCTTCATCTACAGCCTATATGGAACACCATATTGTGGGACATTTTACCTTTTTATTTATTTATTTAGGCTCATATTAATATATACATGATCAACAAAGGAGTAGACAAGTAGAATGTTAAAGTCAACATAGATAGGTTATAAACCAGACAAAACAATGAAGGATCTGAATATTATATATTTGATATATTTTAAAATAATACCAACAGTCTAAAAAATAGCAGCATGCTAATAAATATATCTGATTTCTCCCTAAATTCCAGCAAACTTCTCTCATGTGAGAAGACCCAATATCTTAGGAGTATCTGGGTGGCTTGGCCAGTTAAGCATCTGACTTTGGCTCGTGTCATGATCTCACAGTCCGTGAGGGCTCTGAGCTCTCACCCCTCTGGAGCCTGCTTCCGATTCTGTGTCTTCATCTCTCTCTACCTCTCCCCTCCTTGGCTCTCTCCCTCTCCCTCTCCCTCTCCCTCTCTCTTTCTCTCTCTCTCTCTCTCTCTCTCTCGGGCTCTCTCTCTCTCTTGCTCTCTATCAAAAATTTAAAAAAATTAAAAAATTTTTAAGACATAATTAAAATTTTCAAAATATTGAGTGAAAAGAAATATTATGTTCTTGATTTGTTAATGATCATTTGAAATTTTAATTAAATGGTCTCAAATATATTTATTTATTATATGCTATGATTCCAAAATAGCTACAAACACACTTTAATGTTTACACAAACATTAGACTTAATCTCATCTTTCCTAATATCACAAAATGTTGATAATGTAATCTGTATAAGCTAGAAGCCTTATTTTGTAATTGTATTTTGTAACTCTTAATCTCCTTTACCAAATAGGAGATGCAAAATAGCACTTCCTAACCCTCACCCCCTCTGGCAACTACCATTCTTTTCTCCATATCTCTGAATTTTGTACCATTTTGTTTGTTCATTTGTTCCATTTTTTTAGATTACAAATTTAAGTAGAATTCCAGAATCAAAATAAGTAATGGGGATGTGATGTACAATAGGGTGATACAGTCAATAATAATGAACTGCAAATTTGAAAATTGATAAGAAAGTTAATCTTAGGGGTGCCTGGGTGGCTCAGTGGGCTAAACAGCCAACTTGATCTAAGCTCAGGTCATGATCTCAAGGTTCATGAGATCAGGCCCCACATCAGGCTCTGAGCTGACAGCACAGAGACTGTTTGGCATTCTGTCTCTCCCTCTCTCTCTGCCCCTCCCCCACTTGCGCTCTTGCTGTCTCTCAAAATAAATTAATAAACATTTTTAAAAAAAGAGTAAATCTTAGTTCTCAACACAAGAAATGTTTTTCAACTCTGGTGATAGATGGTAACTAGATTTATTGTGGTGATCATTGAATACAAATGCCATTATGTTTACATCTGAAACTAGTATAATGTTGTATGTCAGCTATACTTCAATAAAATAATTGCAGTATTCTCTAGCAGAACACTTACATATGCATCTTGATATGCATGTACACACTCCCACACACATACGCAAACTTACATACTCACACACACTATAAAAGTGCATGCACACAGAGACACAGAACTCCAGCAGTGTCTTAGAAATCCATCACTGAGTCTGTTGCCCTCATTTTTTTATTGAAAAGGCAGTTCACTTTAAATATAGTAATTGTAACACCAATACCAAGCTAAATTATTTCAAATTTGGTATGGATAGAAAAGGAAATCTGAAAGGGCATATGGCTATTACACAAGTAATTCAGCAAAGACCATGCAGATTTGCTCTTGAGTTAACAAATATTTAAGAATAGAAGTCCATCCTTCTGATAATATCTGAAGTTCAGTACTGGGTATATAACAAAGATTTAACTAAAATGAGATCATTTAAAGCCTGATGCAAAATAATGAGATTCTGGAAAGTGTCTCATATGAGGACAAGTTTAAGGAAATGGAAATGTTTAGCCTAAATATGAAGAGTTAGCAGTTAACATAAAGGCTGTCTTTCTTTTTTTTTTTTATTTTTTAAATATTTACTTACTTTTGAGAGAGAGAAAGAGACAGACAGACTGCTAGTGGGGGAGGGGTAGAGGGAGAGGGAGACACAGAATCGGAAGCAGGCTCTAGGCTCTGAGCTGTCAGCACAGAGCCCAATGTAGAGCTCAAACTCACTAGCCTTGAGATCATGACCTGAGCTGAAGTAGGGCACTCTATCAACTGAACAACCCAGGCACCCCAAAGGCTGTCTTTAAATATTAACATGGTTATCATTATTAACATGAGATGACTCATCACATGATGCTCCATTGTACATAATTAATCATAGAGAAATAGGAGAATTAGGAATGAGATTACTCAATTATGAAATGATCATCATTGTGAAGTGGAGAGCCCTCCAATATATATAATTGTGCCAAAGACTAGAACAGCTTGTAATGCAGTGACTGTTTTTTTTCCTGATACAGATAATTTTGCATGAGACAAATTCTCTCATTAAATGACTTCCAGATTCCTTTCTCATTATAATATTACACGAAGTAAAACTCTTAATTAATCCAGTTCTCTAACAGAGTTTAGTGTTTATCCTTCTGAATTTTTTCATGATTTTATTTTAAATATCCTGTTAGTACTTCCCTTTCCAGTTTAAATGTGCTTTTCCTTTTTTCCTTCTACATTTTCCTTCCCTTCCTCCTCTCCTCCCTTCCTTCTAAACCCTCTCTTCCCATCTAACTTTATCCGAATTTACCTCCATCCAAATAGGCCAACATAGTGCACTCTTCTTGGACTTTGCCCAGATACTCAGAGTTTTAATCACCTTTACCCCAATATAACAGTGGAATTATGATTGTATTTAATAAAAATAAAGTAGAAATGTAGAAATAAAGTAGAAATACCAGGTGGTATCATCTCCTACTGATATATTTTCATTGTTTAATAATATTAGCTTTATATTGGTCAACAACATTTTATTGTTTGATTTGCATAGATACTATATTTCTTTGTAACAAATATTTATTTCTGGATATTTTATAATTTTGGTTGCTATTTTTAAAGGGTTTTGTTCCAACCTTTAACTTTTGGTTTTGGTATTGTAAATGGCTACCATGTTGAATCCCTTTATGTGCAATAATATGTTTTTTCATGTTTATTGCTTGGGTACTTTAGGCGGATAATCATGCCATCTAAAAACTTCCAATATTGTATTTACATTTAACTGTTATTATGTTGACTAGCACTTATTGAAGAAAAAATATCAACTGTGGTGTGCATTCTTAAAAGGCTTCTTACGCTTTAGCAATAATTATACTGTTGACCCTGGAGTTGCAATAAATATTTATATTTTACACCAAAAATCATATGAGGAGTGCAGGGATATTGATAGTTATCAACAACCTATCTTGACTCTCTCAAACTGATAGTATCTTGCTGGGATTTTTTTTTTTTTTTTTGACATTGAGTTGATGAATTATTTCAACAGATTTTCTATTATGCAATTTTTCAGGTACTTACTGGTGGATTCAATTTCGTATCCTTTTAGTTTTTCTTCTATAGTCTTAACTAAGATTTATGTACTATCATCTTTAGATTATCCTGATATCTTCAAATACACATTGAAAAACTCTCCAGGTTTTTCTACAGTCTGAAACAATTTTAAAAACTACAGACACATTCTGTAATAAGCATTGTCAATTTGCCTTAATATTGATTTTAATTGGTTACTTTTTCTTCCTCATTCTGTTGCTCTGGTTACTTGAATTTAGTATAAAAATCATGCAGATTCTTGCTAAAAGCCAATTCCTCTTAAAATTCCTTTTCACTAACTCTAAAGTGAGTTAACTCTAAAGTAAGCCCTCACCATTTTAACCACCCAAAAATAATTCTGACCTACGCTGTCCACACATTGTTCTTTCAGAAACACTATTTCACTTTTTTCAAGACTAATAATGCCTTGGGCTGTGTTTAAGATGTCAAACCTTTGCAGGGGTGCCTGGGTGGCTCAGTTGGTTAAGCGTACAACTCTTGATTTTGGCTCAGGTCATGATCTTCAGGTTCATGGATCTGAGCCTTACATCAGGCTCTGCACGGACAGTGTAAAGACTGCTTGGAATACTCTCTACTTCTCTCTGCCCCTATCTCGCTCATGTTTACCTTCTTTCTCTTTCAAAATAAATAAATAAACAAACAAACAAACAAATAAAAACTTAAGAATAAAACACCTTTGCCAATATTCTCTTTGGAACTTGTAGTCGATATAGACAACTAGCAAAAGAAAACTCTTCTATATTTCTGCTTGGTACTGCTTCCTTCCTGCCTCCCTCTGATTCTGCAATATTAGTCAGGAGTCTGTGCATGAGTATTTTATGACTATACCCATTTCAAACAAGGCAGTATCTTCCTGGACTTTCTTGTCCAGCAGGCAGGTTCAGTGGATACGTGTTAGTCTCTCTATTTATTTCTTGGTGGTTGTTTTTCTTTGGAAAATCTACATTTAGACATCAAATTAATGTATATAGCTCCACTGCAGTTCCCATGTCTAAGAACTTTTCACCTGGCATCATTTCTATGCTTTTAAGTTGGCGCATCTTTC